GACATGGATGAGATGCAGTATATAATGGGCGGCGTGGCCAGCGAGGTGGACTCGGATGGAAGGCGCCTGACGCGTTGCTCTGGCTTCTGATTGGTCAATAAAGCCTGTTCTGTTGTACCGCTCTTTTACCTATTAGGGCTCGGGTATTCTACAGTGGCATCGGATTAGGGCGCAGACATATTGGACCACCTGGCCTCAGCCAATCCTGTGTCTCTGTGTTCCAATAGCATGCGAGGAAGAGATGTAGCCAACCAGAGAAAAACAACTGGGTTGCAGTATATGATGAGTGGCGTGGTGGACTCGGATGTAAGGCGCCTAGCGTGTGGCTCTGGCTTGTAATTGGTCAATAAGGCCTGTTATGTTGTACCAGTCACCCCCCTATTAGGGCTCGGGAATTCTACACTGGTGGCAGCGGATGCGTTCGAATAACGCAAATCGAACCCCAGCCCTCTTCTACGGTCAACAAAGGCGAAGACCCTTAAATGCCAGATAAAGTTGTCGTGGTGGTCCTCCGATTCTCCACATACTGCATCCATAGACATTTCCCGGGATTAGAAGTTCTGCATCTGTAGAGGCATTGGCAACTCAGCGACGACGACTTGGACAGTAAAAGCCAGCTGGACTGCAACTGCGAAGGACTTTTAATGGATGATGGGTCTTTCCTGCAAGTCTACAAGAGTAAAGTCTCTCGTAAACTATTCGCATGGGCCACTGTCATGCTTCAGCCAGTCCACTATCTTTCTGTGTTCCAGTGGCATACGAGAAAAATAAGCGGCCAACCATAGAAGGACTCGAATGAGGTGCAGTATAGAATGGGCGGCGTGGCAAGCATGGTGGACTCGGATCGAAGGCGCCTGACTTGCAACTCTGGCTTGTGATTGGTCAATAAAGCCTGATGTGTTGTACCAGACTTTTTCCTATTAGGGCTCGGGTATTCTACAGTGGCGACGTATAAGAGCCCAGACATATTGGACCGCGCTGTCCCCAGCCAATCCTCTGTTTCTCTGAGTTCCAACGGCGTGCGGGGGTGGATGGGGGGCCAACTATAGAAACACGAATGGGGAGCATTATATTAAGAGCGGCGAAGCCAGCTTAGTGAAATTGGATGGATATCGCCTGACATGTAGTTCTTTGTTATGGTTGTTCAAGTAAGCCTGTTCTGTTGCACCAGTCTTCTTAATATCAGGGCTCGGATATGCGACATTTGCAATTTAACGGGGTGCAGACATATTTTGGTCACGCACAGTTCAGCCAATTTCCGATCTCCCATGACATTTGTTGAAGGAAACCATCCTACAAGGACGGAGAAGAGGCACCATTCATTGAGCGGAACTTCTGGCATTAGACTCGGATAAACGTCAGCAAGCGGATTTTCGTGTCTTTTAATCAATCTAGACAGCTTAATTTCCTGAGCCTGTCTTTTTCATTATATATACCAGATATTCCATGATAACACCGTAAAAATGAAAAGTTCTCGCAAAAACCATACGAATCAGACTATACGTTTGTCAAAGCCTAAAGTGATCTATTTTTATAGAAAAAGTGGTTTCAGAATTTGAAAATTTTATAAATTTGTGGCATTTCCCTATTGGTACTTATGGCCTGATAAGACTGCTGTGGTTTATAATTATGAAAATAGATTCAGTACCAAGATTGTGATTAATCTTCCGTATTGGTGATTGATTCTTTTAGGATAACAATCAATATTGTGATCTCCAGTATTTCACATATTCCAAGTGTTCCTTTTTCTGCAATTTTTCAAACCCTGTTTATTTCCTGAAAACAAGTCAAAAGTAAAGGTTCTAACACCAGCTGACACAGGCAGTTTAAAACTTGTGGACTTTAACCAAAAATATAAATCCCGATAATTGCAAAAGTAACAATTTTAAGATTGTTTCTATTTTAATTCAGCAGTTTTAATAGATAAAGCAGATGAACGAGCAGGCTTAACCCTCTTTGATTACATATTCCTGGGTGATGTTTATTGACTAAATTTACCTATTTATATAACTCTTATATATACATGTATAAACGTTTTAACTACATTAACTGAAAATATTGGCCTCAATTTAGCTATGGTAAATTTGTTTTAGTTGGGTCGACTGGCGATGTAATCAGATTCTTTGTGCACTGTGTAATTGTCCGTTTTTAGTTAAATGGACGTGAATTCCCATGTCTATATTTGGATCAGCTTGATGACAACTTCATAGGAGTTTTAGTATTATGGTTGGTTTTTATTATTTTGACTTGACAATAGTGGCTGAGTATGCCTCTATTTTTTTTCTTTCCCTGTTATTCGCAGCCCTCTTCATTTGTTTGCATTTGTCCTTTTTATTAATGTGATTGCAGAGTTGTATTCAAAAATATAGTGCCTAAAAAATTTTCCCCTTTTGCGTTCCATTTCGATTGCTTCTTGGGGAAGTATATTTGGTACACCTAGTAATAGTTATTTTCATTTTTCGTTAATTTACATTTCAAAACCACACAAAACAATGGCGCTCGCGGATGTAGATATCATACTCAGATTTGACGATTGTACTGTCCTTGATAACTCGCAAATTCTGTGTTGCAAGCCTGCAGTTCTTGGTTTTTCAATTGTGCTTTAGTTCGTGTAACTTTCTGGTTTACGATGACATTGTTCGTAAACGCTTCGAATGTTTCTATATTATATTTGAATTTTTGTTAATGTATTTTGTGCCGTATTCGTTGACAATGTATTTTTTCTGATTCATTTACATATATTCCTTCGAATTGCTTTTTTAATATTAAACAGTAGCTTTTCTAATTTATGACCTCCAATTAAGTACCTGTTGTTATTGTTTTCCAGTTCTTGTCATAAATATTTTCTTAGAATCTTCGATTTCTGTTTAGTCTATCAATGCAGGCAGATGCAGTTGTTACTAAAGCCCCAACAAAGTCTGCTGACTCGTGCCAAAATACTGTAAACGCAGACAGTGACGTATGCAGAGATTTCCTTCGGAATGTTTGTAAACGCGGGCGAAAATGTAAATTTAAACATCCAACAAGCAGCTCATCGTGTGATAGCTCGTGAGTTATGTTCAATTAACTTTGCTCGAATTTACGTCACAGAAGATTAATATTAAACACCATAGTTGCGTTGCTTGGCACTGTTAATACAATGTTAGTCTTACCTTACACTGATTTACTTAACTGTAATGAATCTCGTGGTTATTTTATTTCATATGTTGTTTCGAGAATTTCCATTCTATTTTAGAAGCTTTGAGTGACTGTGAATGTTATTTTTGAAGTGTAGCACCAGAATATAAGAAATTTAAGCTAGTTTCTTAATCATTTTTTCTTTTACCCTTTTTTCCTTGATGAATGCTTTATTACACAACTTCACCATGATGATTCCAAGTATACACCTCTATTTACAATACAGATACATTGTCGTTCAATAAAACCATAAGTTTATTTTATGGATTTGTAGTTGTTAATAATAATTTGCATTTGATTACCTTTGGGATCTGTAAATTTGCTAGACTTATTTCTTAAGCTAATGTTCACAATATGTGGTCTACGTATTTTGTGTAATTATAAGGCCAATTGTCATTGTGGTTCGCTCTGAAGCATGGTTAATCTCCCATTTTTAAATTATCAAAATTTTTGCCATTTGGTCCCCATTTTTCTTTTAAGTTTCAGAGTGATGTCTTGTATTGAAAGTATTACCCTAAAAATGAGAACTGTTTTTGAAGCCATTGTTTCACTGGTGTTTACGATAAACCACTTGTATATTATCGTTTTGCCATTACTTTGAACATAGTAAAGTATGTGAGTACTGTGAGACATAGCTTGAATTGGTATTTACTGACAACTTTTGCTAGGGTAACGGAACCCTGCATTCATAATGAAATCAACTGGTTTTTAATTTTCCTCAGAAATCCTTTTGGCATTATCTGTTATCTTAACATTTAGTTAAATCAAGCCGGCTCCCAAAGCCTTAGTCCATAATTTTTTGCCTGAAAACGTCCACCTAGATTTGATTTTAATTATTTTTGTCGTACGTTTTAGACGCGAGCCCATATTCTGTCACGACTATCAAAATGGTGCCTGTCGTAGACCATCGTGCAAGTTTCTTCACTATACAAAGAAGGAAGAGGAATTCTTCCGCCTTCATGGTGTTGTTCCGCCCGCACACACTTTCGAGAACCCTTCTTTGGATGCAAGCATTCCTGTTTGCAAGGTTCGTAATGATAGCTGTGTATTCCTTTTCATGTTTGTGATTTTATAAATAAGGCTAATATACTAGGGTTGTAACCAATTTTATGAGTCTAAATATGGGTCTTCACATCTAAAGAAAACAATGTAAAAATGAATCACTGCCACAACAGTCCATTAGTATGGTGTAATTATGGCGTGTTCCCCCTTTGTGTTCACGGTTTCTCATCTATCCCACGTTGAACTCTAAAGTTTCGTATTAAGTTGACATGACCTGCTATTAAATTTTTTCCTTATAGGACTTCCTTAATCATAATTGTCATCGCGGTTCTTCATGCAAGTTCCGGCACGGCAAATCAATTTCTAATTTAGTTGCTGCTGACACCTTGGCTGACCATCCCTCCAGAAACCCCGTAGTATGCCTTAGTCAGGATCACCAGGTATACTCAAATCTTCCGAACAGTTTATTGCAACACCAATTCCCAAATAACGGCGCAATCCCGGTGTCTCCACCCCGAACTTCCCAGTCAGCCGTTACAACACCTGAGACAACAGCCATGGTTGCAGCCGCAGCTGCTGCTGGTTATCTGGCTATGCAGAAACACGGGCATCAGCGTCAGCACCAGCACAACACTGGAGGGCAGGGTCCACCGGCGGTAACATCGCTTCCTACCTCCGCCCTGCCTCCCGCTTCGGCTGCCGCTGTTGCCGCTGCCGCTGCTGCTACGGCGCTTGCAACCACTCATCAGCATCAACGGCAACAGGATCCTTTGAACCAACGAGTAAGCTCCAGTGCCATCTCACTCTGACAGCTGGTTTTAACTCGTGCTAACTCATGCTTTTCATTTTCTTCTTATAAACCTTTCGCTAGAATAATTTTGCGATTTAAACTAGGCTTGTGAATAATCTTCCACTTCTTTTGAACTGTCCAAAAGATTTTCCGATATTCATGTGGAAATTTAAGCTTGCTTAGATTTGGGTTTTTTAGTTTGCAGTGTAATTAAAAAAAAAGGTAGTAAATGTCGATTCAAATCATATGCCGTCTTGAATTTTTCTTCTTAGTACTCTGAACCTGCATTATCTGCTACCCAGTCTACCACCATTCCTGTTATGCAATCTATTTTGGGGGCCGTCACTTACTCAAATGCGCTACACCCACCAAATTCAAAAGATTCCGCCTACCCAGCGTCTAGCTCACTTCCGACCACAGATATCCCCACTGAGGCCACTTGTTCTTATTACAAAGGAAATAACGTAGTACGCACTTGTCTGACTCAATCCCTTTTCTGCGTCCAACAAGGTAAGATAATACTAATATTTCTCGACCGATTCGTAAATACAATTTCTGATTCACCTTCACTTTTCTTCAGACGACGAGGCCGCCTCTCCAAATGAATACCGTCTGCCGGCTGCCTCTAGTCATTCGGTCATCTCAACAAATTTCGCCAATCTTGATGCAATGAAAAAGCCAGTAACTTCGTGTTCTGGTTTCAATCAACACCGACAGCAGCAACAAGATGCAAATACAGCAGCAGCAGTGGCCGCTGCAGCTTGTTTTGGTTAGTTTTTTTTTCTGGAACTCCTATTTTATGAAATCGGGTCTAGTTGTGGTCCCATTTATACTTTTCAACCACAGCTTACGGCTCCTTTTTAAATGCATGCGATGGCACATGCGTGGTCCATTTTAACTCTTAATTAAATCAATAAATAATCAGCTTCCAGCGAGGTCAGTGTTATAAGAAATGTAATTTTCTGTACCTCCCTATCAAAGTGAGTTCATATGAATGCACAAAGCGGTAGAGCCATCGCCAGATATGCACTAAATCTGTTTGTCAAATTTGGCAAAGGTATGTTTACTCAATTATTGCCTGAAAATGCCATCTCTACATAGGTTGGATCCATGAACCGATGCTAAACCAATCGTATCAATTTTTTTTAAAGTGTCAATGCTTTCTCAGGAAATGCAAAACTAAGTACGCTTCCAGATAGTCGTTAGATTCTGATGTAAGAGTTGAATTATTAAGCTTTTAAACCAAAATGTATTGTGTGACATGTTCCTACTATTCAAATAGTTTCTACCCCTGTTTTACCGTGATATAGGTCCTTGTTACACTATTCCATTTACCCCAGTCTGATCGATCCTATTATAATTTCGCACTTATCGCTTTACACTTTTACTGTTTTTCATCATCATTTATTGTTTTAGTCAATGTCCCACAAAGTAAAATCATAAACCACTAATTAGTTTGTCCGGCTTTGTTTTGGTACGGATTATTAGCGTTTGTCTTGCTTTCAAAATCGCTTTCGCTTTTACAATTTCTCGTGTAGTCACCGGTCTTCTAAGATTATCCCACTAAAACGTTTATGGTTCCACTCGTCGAAGTGTACGCAAATAACACGATCGCCCATTCATATCAAATAACACCCAACATAGATATATGCTATTTAAACTGTCGGTTTTTAAAGGTGCCATGCTGTCTCAGCCAGTCGCTGCTGCGGCCGCCGCCTCTCGTGCTGTAGCGTCAAAGCCAACCGCCGAAGATATTCTCTCTCAAGCGGTGAATGGGGACCGTAGTCTCACATCATTGCCCCCCTCGTCCTCTGCAATAGCGGCGCAATCCTCCGCCACCGTCGCACTACCATCGGCACCTCCTCCAGCGCCTCCACCAACAGCCGTCGCTGCTGCCGCCGCTGCTGCTGTAGCTGCTGCAGTTGTCAGTTCAGCTGGACCTTCAGCCGCTGTTGCGGCAATGTCCGCAGCCCATCTAGCAACATCTTCATTCTCCCACGCTCACCCTGCCACGCATGTCTCCTGTGCTCCAGCTGGAACCGAATCTCCACTAACTGTCAGCGAAAGGTATTTCTTTATTCTCACTAAAGCGGGATTCTAACGAGTTGATGTATTGCTGGCCTTATTCACGTTAGCATCTATGTTGGGTGCAATTTTGAGGAAGCAAATATGGCTTCACTTTGCTTCCGTCGCAGCATCATCTTGATTTTATCGACCTTGATGTTATGTGGCGTTAAATACTTTCTTACCAGCTACTTCGGCAAAACACGACACTTGATACTAGGCGGATTCTTCCCCTAGATGTAAATCAATTTTGTTCCGAATTTTCAAATTGCTTGTTAAATTTAAATGTTAAGATAATTTAGCAAAGTAAATGAATATGTTGATCCATATTTCCTGGTAGTGCTAGCCAGAGGGCTGAAGAACACTCACAATTTGGTGTATTCGTTTAAGTGGCAGACGTGTTTGCATCTCATAGGTCGGCTGTGGGTTATTTAAATTTAATAATAAAGAAGAGATGTTAGGGGATGAGACAAACATGTAGAATGTTATCTCGAATTTTGTAATGAATTGCTCTAAAATATGCAGGGTATTGAGAAGGCTTCATTTACTTGTGAAGTCAATAATTTACACCTAATAGCGGATATTGATTGAGAGATGAACCAATCGTCGACTTAATCGAATTTTGATTTCTCCGTCTTTGATTAGTGGTGTAATGACTCGAGATATTACCTACACACTCTATCGTGTCGTCTTGTCAAATTAATTGCATATGTCAGCAACATGAACCTTACTAATTTTTAAACTTATGTAGCAATTCGCATGTGGCTTGGAAAAATCCATCGTACTTTATAGTGTCTGTCCAGGTGGAAGTAGTAAATTGATACAAATATGCGCTTTTATGGCCAATTGTTGCTGTGTACGGCAACCTATCGCTTTGTCTGACTCGTTACATCTCAACTCCTAAAGCTCTTCTGCATGTTCTGTGGCTAAACTTATTCTTCTTTTAGTAGCCAATTGACAGCCTATTTTGTCAAGCATTCCATTTCACCTATTTTTGCACTAGCTTGCATTTTAGGTAAATCATATTGACTTTACTCAAGGGTTTTTTAGATGGATCTAAACTGCCACCTCTTGTAGTCTTTTAGCAAGTTATGTTATTTGAATTCATGGACTACCATCCTTTAAGGTTTTCAAAAATACTTGGGCCATTTGACGTTGTAATTTGTGTCAGAAGTTGAATCACTAATAACCAGCCGTTATCGACTTATCACCTGATTTTTTTATGTTCAACTTTCAAGTCAGTTCGTCGCCCACATGACACCGACGTCTGTCGTTGACCCATTGGTTATCAGTAGCCACCAGAGAATTTGTGGCCCCACCGATGCACGTGTCGAGGTGTACGGTCCTGATGAGGCTGTATCGATTCGTCGTACTGTGCCGCCTCCACCATCTCCACCCTCTGCAATGTCTACGATGCCTGCCGCGACACCCTCCCAACTTGGCTCCTCCGCAGCGACTGCCGCATACACCGCTACTATGACAACAGCTGCTGCTGCAGCCGCTATGGCAGCAGCAGTCGCCGTGGAAGAACACAATCAAAAGAAAAACGCCGCTGCCGCTGCCATGGCCGCATTTAATGGGAGTGCTGCGCTTGCCGTAAGCCAGCTTATCTTGTGTGATTTCATTTCATGCTAGGGGCCTAAAGTGTCTGAGTTATTCCAGTCATTAATAGGTTGAGAAATAGCAATCGCTTGCCACGAATGTATGAGTAGCGTCATTAAAATGAAATTTCCCCATGTTCGCTGTTCCAAACGATTTTTGTAGCTTTACGTTTTTCAATGTCGTCCATGTTTCTGCGTGGTTTTCGACAAAGAGTGTGGAAATTCCGAACGATTAAGCTTTCGATTCAAACATTATTTCGTAAATGATACTCTACTACTCACGTTACTTTTGAATAACACTGTTTGGCAAGTTATTTAACTAATGTATTAACTTTCTCATTCATTAATCGCGGTCTGGGTATCTCGAAGAATGAATAGCAGCATTGTGCCTTAGTGCCTAGGATCACGTCTTGATTCATAATATCTAGTAACCCTACGTATTGTCTGAAATCAATGTCTGCATTAGTATTATCGAGGTGCGTGGACATTTACCATTGTTTTATTTTCAGCACGGTGTCCAGAGCATGCCGCGGATCGCTGATCAGTCTCCGATTTCACCCGATTCTATGTCATCTTCAAGTCATATCTCGAAAATTAAGCCTTCCATCGGAGGTGCGCCGGATGTTTATCTAAAAACCAAAATTGCTCTGGCGAACGGCAATGTGGGGTCTCATCGTCGCATGCGTTGTCGACGAAGCATGCGACAACCTCATTTTCCCTCAGCTTTTGATGTCGTCGACGACGAGAGCTTCGAAGAAAGTTACTATGAGGATGAAGAGGACGATGGAGACGAAATTACGAACGCCGCATTGACCATACGCGAAAGCGACCGCAAGGGTCTTCGGCCAGATCGACCGGGTTCTCCTGATTATACATTTGGGCGCAGTCTTCCTATCGTGGATAAACCTCGCCAGCGTTCACTTTCCTATCCTGCATGTAATCCCCGATCAGGATCGACCCCATACAAAGAAGGGGATAAACTAGGTCGAGTTGACTCATCAAACCCTGGGCGTTCTTCTTCGTCAATACCGTTGTCTGCACATACCTCTCCCATTACTTCTTCGGTGGTATCGTCTCGCCCATTTATCGATTGTGGAATTCCCTCTAAACGACCTAAGCTTGTTAGCCCCCTTAGTAGCAATTGTGTTGTTTCTCCACCCTCTTCGTCAAAATTTGCACGTCGACGATACCACCACTTTCCCAGACGAATTCGGCGACTTGATATGGAATCTGAAATGGATGTCGAAGATGAAGAAGAGGACTTCTGTTATGAAGGAGCTACTGAGTACTACAGCTCAACGACAGTAGTTACTCCACCATCTTATCGGGAACGCCTGCATGCTCTTAAACGAGAGAATGTCCAACTGAGACTGCATCTACAAAGAGTTATGCAGCAGCGCAATCACTTACAGGTTGAGAACCACGCTCTGCTTAAACAAAATTTGAAGTTAAGAAAATTTGGCGGTACAAGTAAACGGTTGAACGATTGTTCTAATAATTTGTCTGTAAAGCCTGCGACACCGTCTTTTCTGTCTTCCGAGACGAGAAGGCGATTCCTCCAGTCGCCCTCGTGTCCAAAACCACCCTCATCAGTCTCCGAAGGTACAATTTCTGGTAGTGTTTTCTTTCTTTTTTTTAAAAAACTGGGTTTCTGGGATTTTTCCTGTACTGTTATAAATAATTCTCACGTATCGGACTGTCCTCACTTGTAGGTAAGGTACTGTTTTTACTATCTTTTGTACGGTCGAACAGTGAGACATAGACTTAAGTACATTTAAATAACTATACTTTATCCAGCAACCAGCAATTATTTTTCCTGCGCTTTATGACTAAATTTCTCTGCCTCACAATGGCTACTTGGACACCGCTTATTAAGGAGTAATGTAGTTTTCTGCAACTTTCGATGTCAATTGGGTCATTGTAATTAGTGACGGCCTGCTAGTATACGGCGAACCTCATATAATGCGAATTTGTTCTAATTTTTTAACCGCTATGCAATCTGGTAGTCTTGTGAACTAGACCATCGATCGAAGACCTGCCTTAAATCAGGCACATGTTTGCCAATCGCCTTTTAACAATCGCATGCCTCTGGAAACCTGCGCATCTCAGTTTATATTTTTTGCTCATATCTCACGTCAAGCATGTTAATCATTGGATAAATCTCAATCCATGACATGTAGCTTAAAATTGAATTTACCAATTTCTGACATTGACTCATGTTATATATTAAACAAACCAGGTGTTGAATAGTTGTTTTATTTTTAGATCCCCGAAACTCCTGATCATCGTCAAAGGGGTCATTCTCATATTTAATCTGAATGCTGTTTGTGTATAATTTTTATCTTCCCTATTCATTGGTTGGCGCATATCCCGCCTTATTTCTACCCAATCGTGTTTGTCCCTCTTTTCTCATGTACGAATTTGAGACAATGTATTTTAGAATATTGTTTATTAATGTGCGATGTAAATACTACCTCATTGTAACATTTTTAGCGTTCATTTGATTTTGGGGATCGAGTGTCCCGGGACCGAAGCAAGCGCCCAACCCAACTTTAATACTTCTGACGAAGCCGAGCTAGGTTCCTGTTTCCTAGGTCAGGACCGTGGATTGTCCATTCCTGAACCTGAATGCTATAGGGCTAGAAATGTACTTTTACTTTCAAAAGGTGTACTACGCACTGCAAATTCGCGTTTGACTTTAGGAATCACCCGACTTTTTCAAGTAACACTACACTTCACGAGCACTGGTCCGCACGGATTTTATTTGAGAATTCGCACAATAGTCACGAGCACTACTTTAGTCGTTCTTGTCGTAGATGAATAACGATGGACCCAGTTTTGCAAAGTGCTTCGACTAGGTGGGCAAGACTTTCTGGGTTTATTTCGTTGCCTCACTGCTTTTTTCCGAAGCTCATTATCAACCGATGTGGCTTCAGTTGTTCGGTTCGAACTTCCTACGTCGTCCTATGACTTTAGATTAACGAGTATTAATTCGGGTAACAGGTCACGCCGAACTAGGCAAGCTGGAAGCCGCAGTCTTAAAAGAATGCAATAGTATGATTGGTTTTGAAGGAACATGGGGGTAAACTTGAGTCGTATTCTGAACCTTGGGCGTATTTCTGTTCCTAATCTGATTATGAGTTCGATCTTGATTGTGGGTGCTGGAATTGCATAGTTCAACATCAGACTGTCTCGGGCGTTAGATATAAAGATACGAAAATTAGTAACAGCAAACCGCTGGATGTGGATCAGGCGTATTAATCACCACATCATAAAGCAGAATACCAAAAGTGGGCAGCGTCCTGCAAGCTTAGCAAAAACTGCTAAAGAATCTCGAAATCAGGGGAATTCACATATTGTGATCCATCAGCACGGTAAACCGTGGAATAAGTAAAAGTTGGGGAATCACGAAATAAAACTAAACCCAAAGACGTAGGTGCGTGATGCCCCAAATGCGCAAGCGTGATCCATTATATTGTCAGTAAATTTTCGTATTTCCTAAAGTCAAACGTTCTCGTGATGTTTTGACTAAAATAATGAGGACAAGCAGAATAGAGCTTGATTACTTCGTAAAACTAGCGAGATACCTTATGTAAACTACAGAAATTAGATTAGTTACTATTTTAATTTTTAGGTAGCAAACAAAAAAATCAGACGAAATTCGCATTTTATTTTAAAAAAAATCAACGCCTTAGAGAAAGACGTCATCGTTTCTTCCATTTTTTTCCTTTTGTGTGTTGCCACTGATCCCCGCCTGAGTGACGAGTTTTTAGAAGAGGTATTGTTTTGCCAAGGTGCAATAGTAATGCCTGCCTAGTGGGGAACCTAAGCAAAAAAATTACATGATCGATCACACCAACTCGGGCAAGCAGGGAGACCCGTCATCATTTTTCAATTGTACTCTAATGCGCCAACGATTCTGTGTCTCTGCTGGATCCCGTTCACGACAATAAACCTAAGGTTATGTATATTAGATGTTTTATACTTTATTTTCTGCTATATGCTGCATTCCAAGGTTTTGTAAAATGGCACAAATTTCTGTGTGCTTAGGGTTATCAACACCTTGCTCAATGGATACCCGCCGCCCACGTGCTCTAGTAACACGACTATTCAAATAAACTGGATAGATGCAAATCCATCTTTCTTTTTCAGAGTGAGACATTGCAGTTGAAAACGGCTTTGACGTTGGCAAATCCATCACGTAAAAAATGATTGGGTGAGATCCATGTGTTAAGAATAAGGGACACAGATTACAAATTAAAACAAACGTATTAAACAAAAAAAATGTAATTACGTTTCACAATATATTTAGCTAGTATTTATGACTAAAACCTATTAAAAAAACACAAAGTAACAATAAAAATAAAAAAATTTAATAAAGTAAATTGCCAGAATGAACATCAATAGCAAAAGCGAATTTGGAAAAAAAAATTTTCTCAATGAAAGGAAATCGAAATAGATAAAGAAGACAATACTTTACACAGATCTACCATAATTATGACGTTATGTTTGACTTCAAATTCTTGATTTACTTGTTAAATAGTCACAACTTTTCAGTCCTCGTGGATATCCATATTTTTAAAATTTTCTATGTCACGAAGCATAATTTGCATTAGTTAGATTATTATATCTCTACAAACGTTTTAGCGAAATTTTAATCTTTGCCTATTTTATTCTCCCATCTATCGCAGTGCATTTATTATACCAAATCCGCATAATTGCTATTACCTGGATTTCGTTTTAACAAAATACTAGTTGCAATGCTGCATTATAATTTTTGTCCTAGATAAATAAAACCATTACGTATGTGTTCTACTTTTGCCACTTTGCTGACAAGTAGACTGGTAGATGTTAATCGCTTTAGGAATTTTCCATCATATAGCCCAATGTGGTTGACAAAGATTATCTCGTAAAAGTTAAATTGGTTTAGCTCAATATATCATCGCGGCCTTGTAAGCATTGCTGACCTTTTTAGTGTTTTAGAAGCCTCTTATAAAGATTTAAAATAAACAAGATTAAAAATATTTAAACCAGGTGTAACCAATTATGCTTAATTTCCAAACCACATCCAGGAAACTGCAACCAGGTTTGGACTATCCTAGTGAAAAATGTCATATTGCCTCTACTCATTTATTGAGGTGCATCAGTCTACGTTTTTGGTCTGATTGATCTAAAAAAATTGCACTTACATCATAGAGGACAGAGATCTATTGATGTTTAAATTAGCATGATTAAACGAGGCCTTAACCCAATATCATGCTTATAAATGTGAACAGTCACAAAAATTTCTTTAAAAAATGACAGTTGCGCTTATTGACTTTCAATCAAGCAGCTGATTAATTTTAGGTTTGGCAAATATTGACATGACGAAAACCTAAAAATTTCTTCTGCATGCTTTGATTTGATAATAACACTTTCGAATCAATAGCCCTTTTAATATATCGAGTTTAAGAAAATAGTGTATTGAGCATTACATTATCACCAATGACAAAAAAAACGATTATCAAAGAATTCGAAAAGGCTCTAATTGAATTCGAAATACTGCGGAATAATTGACGTTATCAAAGCTCAATGTCTGCAACATAGGTTACAAATTACTACTACAAATCATGAGCCAGAATTGGCTTGAAAATTGCATTCTGGAGAGTTCACTTGACCTACAAATGCCGATTATAACCAACTCGACTCAACTCCACAAACACACACGCACACGAGAAACAAAGTTGCTTAAAATGTGTTGGACTCGTTAAGAAACTCGATATTATGATTACAAATAACTCGGGAAGACGCTCTATACCAACCTGTTTATAGACTATGCAGTACTTATCACATTATCCTATATTTATACATTGTTCTAATTAGGGTTCTCGCTTGGCATGACTTACAGTTTGCTTACCAAACGAGCAAATGTTACCGAGTCCTTACGTGGAGAGCAATCGCTCTCTGTATATTCGTTATATACGCCAACTGTATGATGCTCATAGGTGTATAGTTTGCTGTTTAGGATTAGACGCACACGTTATTGAGAATTTGGGATAATCTTTTATTTGGTGAGGTACGGTAGAGCAAGAAGTATATAGGGTACAAATGAGACAGGAGGAAAGAAAGTTAACGGTTTATTCGATGTCCCAACCAGGTTGTGATGTCGTCTTAGTGCATGTGTTCAAATTCGTGCATGACGTATGAAGTTGTTGACCAGTATAATTAGGGTGAACTAGTCGAATTAAAAATGACTGAAAGGCCAGGTAGACAAAGCGAGTAGTGAGGAAGGTACGTGCACAGGGATGTACGAGAAGACGGTTCCGTATGGGTGAGGAGCACGCTGTAAAAAGAAGGGTAGCATGTCGAAGGATGCGGTGACAGAGGAAATGGACGTAAATCAACACGATTCACCACCTATTATTAAGGGATTTGGCGTGTGTATTCAATCGTGGGTCTCAACTTTTCGTGGGCAGTCAGTGTTTACATCACATGAATCTTAAATGGAATTTGATCGTTTCTTTATTTAGAACCCATTCGTTACTGATGATGCATGATGGATGGTGTATAATAGAAACTCTCACAGTCAACGTGCATGATTAAAGCATGATTAGCCACTAAAATCACATTGATGACTGGTTTGTGCTAAGTTATTGGGATCACGTACCCCTAAATTACAATTTGGATCAAATTTATTTTGTCCCTTGAGTAAACATTGGTTCATAAATGACGACGATCTGAATTCGATGTATTTTTGCGCAGTATTCAAAACGATTGTAAAGTTGGTGGGAAAAACGAAACATGGGCTGCCAAATGTGCCCTATTGTTTATTAAAAACGTGAGTTTAATTCCACCCTGCAAAACCAAATATAAGTTAATTGAATCGCATGCGCCAATAACTTGTAAATTAACTTGTGGTAAGGTCTGGTGAAACGACACATGATTTCTCTATTCAGGACTTAACAGTTCCCATTGATTTGGGCGTCATTGATACAGCTAGTAAAAATTGTGTTAACCCGTGTTTGCTGCATAGGGTACCCAAGCCCTAGTATGAAAAAAACAGACGCAACACGTTAGAACTCATGGACGTACCACAGACCAGAAGCGCCTGTCGGGCACGGTTTGTGTGGTTCCTTCATGTTGGTTGTGCCTTCAATAATTGGGGTGCTTTTCATTTATTACTGTCTCTGGTTGGATGACGATCTTTCTCGTAGTCAATTTAGGCGCAAAACAAGAGAGGAATGCCTGCCTCACAAACCCACACTAAGCAAGGTTCTTCTAAAAAGAGAAGCTACCCTTAGCTTCTTGCGTCGCCCTTACTCTATCATAATTGACTCTACTGATGAAAATTCCAGTTCAACATTTCCCCATACCCCGCACCTGTCAGGCGAGTGGTTCAAGTGCCTCGTAGTCAACGGATTTTTGCTTTTGCTGAGTTGCAGGAAAGCCACGTCGTCCACTGCAAGTACTTTCTCCATTTGCATCAAAACCGACTCCTAATGTTCCTGTAGTTGGCTCACCAGCTGCGTGGGCCTTAATTCCATTAAAGGCATCGGATGGACAGCCATGGTAAATTGCAGCTGGTTAGGATGTGAAGAGAAGGAAATTCCAATATTTGTGATTTGAATTCGTCTCTATTGTCAATAGCCAAAAGGAAAAGCACTGGGGTTCCATTCGCGCTATCCAAACGCATCCGCTGTCGCCGATGTGGAATTGCTGGGTTCTAGCCTGAAGAAGAAAACAAGATATGCTGCATGACATACCACAGTTCAGAACCGTCCACTCCAATCCATCATACAGGTGTACCCTCCATTATTTAAAATATCTTATCCACCTATGTCTATGGTCGGCGGCTGGTCTTCCCCTTAGACAACTTAAATTCACATAAACACATTATTGTCGGAATTCATACTGGAATCTAAGGTGGCTGCACTCTATACCGGGACCACTGCTGTTTTTATTTCCCCTTGACATTATGCAACTTCGCAGGCTTTATTGGCGTAACACTGACGAATACTGACCAATAGTTGTTGTTCTGTTACATTCGCCATTTAATCGTCAAACGCAAGGGATTGGTCGAGCTTGGCATATTGCAATGTCTGCGCTTGAGTGACGCTGTGCACTGTAGCGTTCCAGTGGTATGTTGTCTATTTCGGTGATCCTTCGTGTTTTGTTCCTCATTTAAGATGTCAAGAATTAATGAAGGCCGTAGTAACTAATAAACACTTACGTCGATGCTATAAATAATGCTATTTATCTTTGAGAATCTATGCCATCTACTGACTTAGAGCGCTTTTCTATTAATTTGGTGTACCTACCTCCTGCCCCATTTTTGCAAAGAAGTCGGTGGACACTTTATTTTGAAGCTATACGAGTATAGTTACAGTGTTTCCGACATCAGTGCTTGGTAGATATTGTACCAGTTAGAGAACAGAGCCTTGATTTGGTTTTTTGTAGACGAATCGTGAATCACTCTATAGCAGCGCTTCGCGGTTCGTCGGTGCACTTTGTGGGTAGTGACACTTCGTGATGTTAGGACCTAGCATTCTTGTCAGTTGTAGATGCTCCTTTGTTTACATGCCAATTCATCAACGTTTGCCTATTGAATACCGTTGGTTTCAATTTTTTATTATTTCCGGTTTGATTTAGTTATCAATTTTATGCACTGGCGTCATTAATCTAGCGTAGAGACGCTGTTTTATGTACCTTGTGGAAGTCACACGCAGTATTTTATAAGCATATGGTTAGCTTATTGTCTTGGTCGATGTATCCACATGCAATCTCTTTTGTGGAAACATTCAGTCATGAATAGGTGCGCTTGACCAGGTGTTCTGGTTTAATTATTTTCATACTAATTATAGGGTAATTCTCTATTTGATCTTTTACATCTAGCACCAAATATGAAATTGTAGGATGCGTTTTTGGATATGCGATGATTGATGTAGCTCAAGCGCATCACTCTTTCGAGACATTTGCGTGTTCCAACTTTTGACTTTCACTGTCTTTGGTTTAGTTACCTCCTGTCGTATTTTGTAAAGATGTCGGTGGACATTTTGAAGAGGACATTGAATGCTGTTGTTGTGGAACTCGCGCATCACATTGGGTTCGAAAAAGCAAATTTGGATGCCATAGATATCTTGTCAGATGTACTCTTCAGATACCTAAAGGCAATATCTGATGCTATTGCAAAGCTTGCAAGTAATTCCCAAGATTGTCTTCAGCCCTGATCATTTAGTTGACGATGGCTACTTCAGCCTGGTTGACGGTGTTGCTATCTTGGAGTTGATGAACGAGCCGCTTTCTGATTTGGTGTTATTTGCCACCGAAGTGGGTCGAGTTCTTCCAAAACCCGTGGGGCATATGTGTTTGCCTCTCGTCGGTAGAGTTGCACTAGCAATACCTCCAAAGCACAAACAGATTGTGGTGGATAACATCCATCAACTGCATCTGCAGAAGTCAAGTAAACCGGGAGATCTTCCCGCCGAGTCTGTCCCTGATGAGAAAAATAATGGAGGTGGTATGAATACATCCGCGTCGACTCAGAGCCGCGTGGAGCGTAGCCTGCCACATTGGGCAGGTCGTGTGAACTATCGCCTGACAAGGGTTACCTATGACGCAAAGCTATGTGCCCTGGTTGAGCACGAATTGCCTCCACCGATTACTCCGGCGATCCCCCCACCTAAAATCCAATCATATATGAAAAGACGCTCGTCTCGATCAACTGTATCAGTATTTCGCAAACCACAGATTGATTCTTCGTCATCACAGGACCCCTTGATTCTCTCTAGCTCGAAACCTAATCGTACCTCGGAGGAAGCGTGGGCGGCCGCCTTAAAAGTAAGTTTGTTTTTTTATGCTAGTTATTTATACATTGTATATTCTTTACTTTTTTGTAGGTTCCCGTTCCATCGCCTCCAGTGCCGGGTAGAAAAACTATTGTAACTATGTCGCCAACGGCTTCAATGGATACGATGACAACACTACTTAAAGGGACTTCTGGTAGTGTTCAGTCCATCGCCTCGACAAATTACGGGCCCACATCTCCAAGGACTACTAATCGGTAGGATTTTTCTCCGTATTTGCTGTTGTTTTGCTAAATGTTTTGCAATGCGGTGTTTAAGCCTGAGCGTTTGGAATATGTATTTATTTTCTGCACGTACCATCTGTAGTGCAGTCTAGTGTTAAACAACTCAAACTCACAGATGTCTCTTTAGACGGAACTATTTCCTTGGCAAGACTCTTCAGAATCCATTGCATAGAATTTCTACTTGGAAAACATCCCGTTCCTATGCATTGTAAATTCGGGCCAAATTCAATTAATTACAACTTCGATTTACCAAAAATTTTATCACAAATTAGATGTTTCTCATATTAAAGTGATAATTTTATGGCTTGGTTTTGCATGGCGGTTAAACTAACGCAAGCATCTTCCGTTCAAATTTACCTGAGAAGATGATTTTATAAACAATCTGATTTTATGCATTTGAATCGTATACCTTAAAGCTACTTTCGGGTAACTTTGAGAAATAACTAAAAAATCCGCGGCTTTATTAATTTTAAGGAATCCATGTATTTGTTGTAAATCAAATGGTTTTCAGTATAAAACTTGTGGGTTGATCTTCACACTAACTAAATGCGCCTTCTTTTAATTTTCGGACCTAGATTTTTCCAAATCATTTTTTTCACACGAGTCTGGTTTCACGTAAATCTGCCTTAGTTTAATTTCTCTAAAACAAGTGGTCCTACATATTAAAGGTAAGACCGTTAACCTGAGAAGGATACAATGCTTTATAAAAGTGCAGCGAATTATCCCTTTTGAATTTAAATGACCCAACAACCAGCACCAGGTAATGTCAATTTGAGTTTATGTACTTGCGATGGATTTCGAATCGCACTAATACAGTAGTTCATTATTTAGACCCACAAAACTACCATCTGTAGTTGAAAAGTAATTTGAAAAAAAAGTATTAAACTTTTCACTCAAGGATCTCTAGATAGGAGTCGAAGTTAAGGTGACTTAAAGATGCTGCATGAATTTCGGATGAACCTATAGCACTGCACCATTGTCCGTTAGGGTTGAGGTTCCTAAGTGATTGTTAACTTTAAATGTCAGATGTGCTAATGTTCATATATTCTCTACCACGTAGTAAACCTCTCCTACGCTCAAACCGACGTGGCTTCCTGAACCGCAAGAAGCGGTTTAACTTTGGTCGGAGGCGGCCTCAAATAACACCGCGTCATTTAAAGCACCAAACAGCACCTAAGTATTCTCCGGTGCTTGAGATGAAAGAGGGGAAAGGCGAAGACCTTCATGAATTCTCTGATCATGGTAATAGTCCCCCCGCTGGTTTCACTGATTTCTCCAGTCCGTGTTCTGCTGTCGGAAATAAAATATTTGATGAAACTAATGATGATGACGACATAATTGATACTAACGCTGCTGGTTCCGTCCCGGGAGAGCATTCTATTGTATCAAAAGGTATGTTTGCGGTCTCTCTTTTTTGGGTAAGTGTTCGATAAGTCTGTTCATAGTACACCACACTCTTTAAGCTTAAAATAAAAGTTTAGAAACAAGTAATGTGGATAGTTTATGTCTATAGCATTCCCGTAACTTCTAAAATGTTTCAATACATTGCCTAGACATTCGTTAGTTTTGGCAGGTTTCGTATGCTACTTGAAACGAAGTGGCTTCAACCATAAGTGAATTCAGATTTTTGATATTTAAATTTATGCAAAGACCACTTAAATACAAAAGTTACAGCGTTTTAAGGATGAAGCAATGCCACCTTGCAAATATCCCGGCCCATGCTAAGAGTGACCTACACTCAAAACAGATGTATTCTTAGCGGAAATTGACCGTGATGCTGCACTATTATATTTTGAAGGTAGTCCCTTTACACAAAGTACACTTAAAAATGTTTAAATATCGAGAATTTTCGTATTTCTATATGGTTTGGTAGGCCTTCCATCCCGGTTTGACTTTCATGACAGTCTTGAACTTCGTTTTTCAGGCTCCCTCCTTACCTCCTTTGCTTCAACTAAACCACCAACCCCATCATTACTCAAGCACGCGTCCAGTCTCATGCCCACTACCCCGGTAAAAAGTGCGGCTGAAGTCACATACAGTGTAAAATCTGCAGGATCGTCTCCGATCCCCACCAGTAATCTAACTCCGATCGGTTTACCAAAAGCACAGGACACTTTTGAGGTAATACATTTGGACCTTAATTCGGCATTGCTTTAACCAATGGTTACCGAACCCCATAGTTATAATAAATCCTTAGGTTTGAGTTAGGCTCAGACAAATGCCCTTAATATGAAACGGATGCCAGGGTTGTCTGATAATGTCAATCGGATTCGCATAACTTAGCATAAATTTTAGGGTATGCGCAGCACCCCTCCTAGCGATGATGGAATGCGGAAAAGCGATATTGTCGACTCACCTGCCGTCTCGGACTCATGCACCGAACCTTTAGTGGACGAAGAACTAAGTCGAGGTCTTGAGATGCCACGTGTTTTCAACTTTCCACCGACTCGGCGGCGCTCCAGTTTATTCTCATCGTCATCTCCCACCTCATCCTCTTCCTCTACTTCCTCTTCACTCTCCTCTTCACCGGCGGTGGAATCCTCAATGCCACAAGCTCCTTCAGTTTCTCGGCCCCCACCTCTCAGTTCGCATATTTCTCCCATCTCACCTACGCCTCCCACTCATTCTGCTGCAAAACAGCTGCTAGCCGAAGTGAGCAAGCATTTTTTTTTATGAAAGTGTCTTCTAGCGAAAACAAGTTTTCATTTCTCCGCTAAATTTACTGCGAGTGTGTGGGTCTACCTAAGGATACTGTCGGCGGAGAGGAGCACACGTTTGCACTTTTGGTTTAATTTTCACCAATTCAGTTTTTTGCTTTGTCCTGTTGCTGCGAATGTTTTATGAATAATGCAACCTTTCATTGAATACCATAACCCTGTTCACTATATTCTATAAACCCATTTTACCAAGATGATCTGCGGTGTTTCAGACGCTTGTGCACTTACTAACCGGCGTAAATTTGCCTCTTTAGCCTCACTTAACTTGCACTTCTGTTCTGTCCACATCTATATTGGCAGTGTTTTTTCGAAATTCAGCATTCTTCCCGTGTGTCCTCGTCCCTGCCCAATTCCCAAGCTTCACAACCTGCGCCAATTTTTAACCGGGTTACAGAAGTCACAAAAGCTCTTCCTGCTGCAGCTAGTGCTGGTGGAGGTCTTCGTATAAAAATCCGCCTGGGAGGGCCGGATGGCGAGGGTATGAGTGTTCACTCCAGTGAGCCCGCCTTCACGAACACGAACTCCAGTTCACCGAGCAGCAGTAGTAGCAGCAGCAGTGTTTCAACAGCGATGAGCCCGAGCCAGGACTCGGACTCTGAAGCCTTAGCTCGACGTCATGCTGCCATCCCTCCCGCTCTCGTGGTCAAGGGAGTGGGGAATGGACATAGTCCACTTCCTGCCTCCACGATTAGAAGAGAACACCAGGAGTGTGCAAACGCGGTCCCACAGCACTCATCTAGCATTGACGCCAAGGCCCCGAAGTTGTAAGTGCTTGCATAACCGTTGTTAATTTGTGCAGTGAAGAAATACCGGTTGTGTGTGATGTTCTGATATATACAACATCTATTTTAAAACTATAGAATAAATGATCAATCCTTAGTTATCTAGTCCAATCTAACCGTACACTTCATGCCTCTTCTCAGCAATTTGGACATTTTAAAAGGGTTGCCTTTTCCACAATTCCAAGACAGCATTCTATTTAAGCAAGTGACATGTTCTAGTGTACAGGAGCAGAAAAAAATCATTCGATTGTTTTCTTTTAGAGTTATCAAGTTTGACAACTTAGGACATGGTTCCACCAGTATTGTGCGTTCATTCGATCAACAAATGTCTCAGCCAACTTCTACGCTCCATCACGAGAAGCTCCGTGGCAGTAGTATTAGCAGTCTTGGGAGCAGTAGCTCTTCGTCGTCAAGCCAGACTTCCGACGAAGATGAAGAAACTTTTACCAACACCAAGATTCCCCCTCCACCTAGCTTGGAGAGACTGTCGAGCGTAAGGTGTCACGAAGCGCGACTAATACACCCACCAGTGCTCTCATTACTTAGTCAGCCGACAAGGGAGATGACAACCAGCGAGGACAGGAAATTACCACCATCTCTCCGCCCACTGCACACTCCACTACCGCCCCCTCTTCCGAAATTGACATCTTCGACCGTGACAAAGATTCTCCTACATTCTCCCGCCTCGTCTCTTGGGAGTAATTTTTGCCCTTATGTGATAACTTAGTATTAATCCTAGCAAAATTTCCTAGTTTTTAGATTTGTTAGCTCTCACGGATCCATTCATCGCATTAACTCCGTCTTAAGTTAGTATGTCTTTTTAATTTATAAGTGAAGCTGAATAAAACAGATGTCTTACTACCACATGATCTCATCACCACGTTGCCCATAATATTATCTTGTTCAAACACAGTGTCTATTTCTATATCACCTACTTTTCGTAGGAACCAGTACTAAATCTCGCTCGAAGAGCGGGAAAAGGGGGTCTAGAGGGAGCTTCACACAAGAGCTTCCACCACCGAAGCTTGACGCTCTGCTTCCGTCCTGTGGCAAGCGAGCACGTGTTGACTCGGTATTCACGGACGACGAGGAAGACGAGGAATACGAAGCGCACGCAGGCGACGGAGATGGTGTGAGTGTGCGTTCACGAGACAGTCGTCGCAGTCGTCATCGGAGACACCGAAGTGCCAAGCGGAGAAAGACTGGGACCGGCCTAAGCCTAAAAGCACCACAGCTCCCCCCATCGACACCAGCAGTAACTACCCAAATTATAGCTTCGTCGGCGGGCACGTCCTATTACTTCGTACGCTAAATTTCAAATTTCGTTTCTTGAATGTGAGATTGTTTAAAATTTAGGGTTTCCATAGCTTAGAGGTCAAACAAGTCTTTCTTCTATTTCCAAGCTAATAAACCCATCGTTAGGTTTGTCATTATCCTTGACCAGCTAAGATGTCTGCTCCACTGTCCCTCAACGGCATGGTCATTTTGCCAAGACATCCATGCCATGCCATGCTAAACTGCCACTTTGGGCACTACCAGGTTCGCTGTTATGCCTCATCTACTAGTTAAATTATTGGTCAAGCTAGATCCCTTAGTTTTCACATAATATCATTTTTCTATAGTTCTTATTGACTTCAGCCTGTTTTTTCAAGTATAAACGTCTTTTCTTAGAATAACAATGGTGAGCAGATTTGGCTGTGCCCCATTTGCCGCACAGAAGACGATGGAAATCTAATGGTCGGATGCGATAATTGCGATGACTGGTATCACAGGTATGCTTGTATATCCGCATTACGCCATATCGTTCTTCCATAATATCGGTCTGCGTTTAGGTAAACACCCAAGTGTGTTATCTGGCAGGAGTACTATAGTTTTCTTCTAAAGATAGCTTCTTAGTCTTGAACGATTTCTTCTGTTTATAAATTCAATGAGTAGATTATATGATTTAACCAGGTAATGGTAAAATAAGGTGGATTGAAAAAAAAATTCTCATCTCCCCAAGTTTTTTTTCGCAGACTTCTTGCACTATGGGCTTTGGCAGAGTAAGTTTTCGCGACAGCAAACGTAAACTCAACGTTCTTTTGTTTTCCTCTGTTTACAGTAGCTGCCTGGGTCTCGTGAAAGAGCCAGATGCGGCTCAGTGGTTCTGTCCGAAGTGTTCCAACGAACGCCAAACGACATCTTCGAAGAACATAAGCGCACGCACAAAGCCCCCTCCATCGAAGAAATTACCACCATCTTCCAGTAGCCGTCACCCCAAGCGATGAGGCCTTGTATATGACCTATATCTATACTGTAAAATTATTTGTTTAAATACGAACTATCATTTACCCATAGCTATTCAAGCCATGCAATGTTTCAAAGTTGTGGGAGCCAGACATAATTGGCGGTCATCTTGAGGCTTTGTCGAGTATGACATGAGCCATGTGCCAGTGCGCCTGGTTTCGTCTATTGCGGTAGTTATGAGACCTGCCTCATAAACCTACACTCCGAGTCGTTATGCCTTTTGGACACAGAATTGAACAGACCTTGACCGGAAATTCTGGGTGAATACTATTTCTAGTAAAGTAGCTTGAATTGTAATACCTGGAATGATAACGGCTGATTAGTCAGATATTTCGCGAATAGAGTGATCAGACACGTCCCCACAAATGGTGGTGTTGAGACAGGTGAGCTGGATAGACACGCGGGTAGATCGTGGTGACAAAATGCCCGAAAATGTGTTAACGAAGATTATAGACGTGAATAAACAACCAAATAATTTTGCTCACTGCCGATTTATGCTAAGTTGTTTTTACTCTTGTCCAAATTTCTGCAAATAAATCCTGCCGTCTCTCCAATTTTTATCGACAAAACCCACAAGTATACATCTAAAACGACATAAAATGCCTGGTATGCTTAGAGGAAAAAGTAACGTTGTGTCCACTCTGTACAAAGTTTGTCGCAACCCATAATGAAGGTTTTTGGAACATCATTTTCCATATTTACAAAACACGGTGGCAAAGCATAGTTAATATCGATAATTAGTAGGTGTCTTAATTGGTTTTGGTTAACCAACTTATATGGGAACATATTTTGAACCGCGTTCACACTCGTTAATCCGACCGCTCCGACCTCCGAAACACTGCTCCCCTTTTCACAGCAAGCCGTCAGCCGAGAGAAATCTCAACTCACCCCATTATCGCGAACGAATATCCGAGATAATCACCACGGGTGATAACACTCACATATGTCTCGATGTTAGCACATTTGTGACTCACGCTGCTTCACACGTCTGAGCTATAAATGCACACGTGCAAACCCTTCACATAACATTACATAGCTCGACACAACCATATCCTTCGACGATGACTTGGTCGAAGTCCCGAATAAACGCCTGCGTTCACGTCCCCCCAGTTTTCTTAAATACTGTAGGTAGCACAGTAGCGTAATCGGGTCAGATACGACTCAGTGGCCCAGGTGTGGTCTGAGACCACATGCTAGGGCCCTCGAAAATCGGTGACCCCGACGTGGTTCACACCAAAATTGTCAGCGTAAGTTGGAATGATCACTAAATTCAATCGCAAACGCAACTTGCTTAGATGCCTGACTAGGCAGATATATTCTATGCACAGTTCCTACGGGCATCTAGTTAGTCGGAGAAACGATATACTGCTCCGAAGTTTAAGTTCACGGGGACATTTTTAACGGGTTTTGATTGGGCATTTGGAGTAGATTACATTACTAACGCATCCAGCAAAAAAGAAAGAGGTATGTGAATACATATATTTCACAAAAATTCCTGTGTATATACACTAATTAACATATTTACAACTCAATTTCATTTGTTGAAGAATGTTGTTCCGCTTAACTTCGGTAAAGTAATCTGCCACAACTGGAGACATGAAGTCAACAGCCTTGGGAATTTTTAAATACCGAATCTTTCGCCCTTTGCTGGCTCTTACATCAATTTCCTTTTTTTCTTTTCTATATGCGATAATCACGAATATAAGACGCTTACTTGGATGCCAATGTCCCAGATTTCACATTGGAGTCTCGGTTATCAATATCCACATGTGACGTTACACTGCCCTCAACAGTCTCACTGAAGCATTTTACAAAACTCGGACATAAAGTGGCAGCACTTTTCGTCTCGTAAAAAAAGTGATTATCTTCATACAAAGTTAAATTGAAGACTAATTCCAATTAAAATATGACATTAGACTACATAGAATTCATTTCTTAAATGCATGCTCTGTTCAACAACTGACATTAATAAGAATATTAGAAGGCAAAACAAACAATAGGAAAAGAATAAATAAGACAGAAAAAGTGCTGCATGAAAAGCAAGTGTTTGCAATGAAATATTTAGAAAGAGCTTACCAGGTAAGTTGTTCGACTCCAGAGCGATTTTCCTACAATATGTTCTTAAAATATAAAACGATAAATTACAAATCCGTCACTGAGCATATCCGACGACATTACGACCAACAAGGCAAGTAATAATGGGGAAGACAGAATCACTTCAAAATAGGCGCCTGTCAAAAGCGAAGTAGTGAATAGAGAGGGTAGCCGTTACGAACAAAGTTTGGATGTAAACTTGACAAACTATAAAAAATGCATCCAAGATAAAAATTGAAAATTGATACAAATGTCTTAAACATCGACATTGATTTTCCCCAGCTCAAAATTCAATCAATCGCAGTCATGCCGTTTTTCTATAAATTTCCTGAATCAACGCAAGCCATTTTCCATTCTTGCTCAAATTTTTCACGCAAACACCTAATTTTTGAGTGGGCAGTTGTAATTATGAAACTTTAAAAAAATAATTTTTAGTACGATTGAGTTATGCATTTCAAATTACATATCATTTTTAAAAAAAAATCCAAAGTTTTAATCTGCAGAGATTTGCAGCAGGTAATGCTGTTTTGGAATTTGGTCTGCCTATAATTAACCCTTCGTCAACTTTTGCAATTTAATATTCGAATATATTTGAATCATTATTTTCGCCGGCAGTAGTGTAGATTGTCAAATCAATGCGATAAAAATAAAAAAATTTTTTCAAAGCAACATTTGCGGGAATTTGGATGAAATGGTAAAATATGTATACTCAGTGTTCTCGTGAACATTTTGTCGCGCAGAATTTAAACCGGTTTGCCTCATTGATGTCAGACCTGTTAATCGCTTCAGCATCGGATATTTTAGTCAGAGCCAATCAACTAGAGATAGAAAGCAAGTTAACACAATCATTAGTTTGCTACGAAGAAGGAATCGGGATTTTATTGAAGCGTCTGAAGTCCTCATCTGGTAAAGTAGAACACTGAATTATCGCAGACCCAACTCTAAAACTGAAGTTAAAAGACAGGATCAATGTCTACATTACACGTGCCGAAGAAATAAAAAACCTTATTCAACAAAAAAAGCGAGGTTTAATTGAGATTTGCCTGACTTGAATTTGTTGTTAGATGGTAGGTATCATGAACACATTGTGATTAATGAAAACGACACGGGTTATGGGTATCGTAAGCTGTTCAGCAGATTTCTTGATGATGGAACTGTGACAAGTGTTTGCATTGACGATCCATTTATCCGAAATTCCTTCCAAGTTAGCCCATTTATTTCCTCACTTATTAGTTCAGATTGAGAAGTTTTCCCACTTCTGTGAAGTCCTCGTTGCGTCGGCATCACCCGTCCAGCAGATTTTACTTCGCACTGGTGTTTACACAGAAGTGAGTTCCTAAAACGCAGTGCCATTTCTTAATTGTCATCATTCTGTTTTACACAAGCTGTGACTGGCTTGAGTTTACTACTTTTAGTAAATTGTACAAACATATCATTCACTCTAATTCTATTGCATAAGAACTCAATTTTTTACATTTATTTAGGCACTTTAATTCCTTTTACCTAAAAGATGATTTATATACTGAAAAAAGAGGCGGCCTTGTTGCAAATCTTTTCAGGTCTCATATGTCATCTAACAATTTGTATGGTATCTGGGGTTAGAGGAATTTCAAAGATGCCGCAGTTATCTTGTTATGTTTATTCTCGGTAGTTCATATTTCTTTACTTGAAGCATGTCTGCTTGGCAATGAAATAGATGAATTTACGCATACGAAGGTGTTTACTTCTTAATTATTTCCGGACTTGTCCAAGAACAGTATACATTTTCATTGTCATCGTGTTCGATTCCTTTATTTCGCGTGGATTGTAATATCTTTTAATGATGCACTTAATGACACTAGTGACAAATGCCGTTCTACTGAAATTCACACTTAGTAGAGTGTTTTTCACAATTGGAATGACGTTAATCTTTTCCATCAAAATCTGACTTCATCAATGCTTAAAACTTTCAACTACAACAGTAGCGATTTCGTGCCTGTTTATATACTCTCGCCTTGGCTTGACTGGCAGTTCACAAAACTCGAAGTAGCAGTTCATTTTTTCATTTTCATTTTATTCATTTTTTTTAATCCACCGAAACTCCTATTTACTAAAACTAGAAATACTGTCTCCGTTATCCTAAAAACATATTCCTTTCATCATCTATTTAATTGCTGGCTTGTCAACGGAATTATAATAAGCTGCTTGCTCTGAACTCAAAATTATGCGGAAATGGTAAGATTTGTGGGAATGCTTCCCACTTTAGTGGATGCAAATAGAGCATTCAACAATGAAGATTTAAAGGTACGAAAATTAAACATTTGTTGACGAGTTACCTATTTTTTAATGCTTGGACCGTCAAGTTTAATGTCGTTATCTATGTCTAACTATGGGCATTTCAGCACACTTTCGAGATTTTCAGCTTCGTAGTTTCTCAGGTAATGGTTCATTTGTTGGTGGGTTTTGTGTAAGTGGAAGTCGTGGACAGGTATACAAGGCCTAGTTCTCACATTTTGGCATTCTTAAAATTTATTTTTTTCGCAAAAATTGGCGTTGCACTTCGATTGCCTTATTGTTTTCTGGTCTCCTCCGCGTTGCTCTGAGCGGATGGTTGTGCTTTTTTCTTCTAATGAGTTTCCTTGACATTTCTGCGAAGTAAAACCAACTTATGCTGTTACTCTATGCACACATTTGCAAATTAGCGTTTTCATGATATTTTGCTGTCTTTGGTGCTTGTAGTGATGTAATTACGGTTAAAATATTTTCTATAGTTAATACTTTTCAAAATGTTGTAGGTTGACTAAAGCGATGTGCGTTTGTTGACACCTTCGGACGTTTTAATTTTATCTTCTATTACTAACAACGAGTAAAGTCTTTTGCAGTTGGCGCGGGGTGCCCCATCTACTGCCGCCTCGCTTCAACAGTTCCGGCACTTCATTATCGGGTCACCTTTTGACTGCATGTGTAACCCATTTCAGCCGTTTCGTGTTTAGCAGCATTTTAATTTTTTATAAGAAAGGTTATTTTCTCTTTATGGTAACTTCGAACAGATAGTTAACCTCGGTAGCAATGAAATCTAACCGCCATTTAACTAGTTTTCTCGAGGGTTTTTGAGAGCCTTCTGGTGCGTTGGGAATGGATTTATACGCAAACTCTCAGTCTCGAGAAACTTGTCCAGGTAGACGAGTTAATGTTGAATTTGTTCTCGTCCCTCATGCTTCAGTAAGTTTGAATGTAGTAAAAATTATATTGTAAGGTGTTATTGCTTGGTTGTAAATGCTGATCGGGATCGCCGGTGGTCGAATTCCACGTGCATGTTTAAAAAAATATATAATCGTTTTGGAGTACCATCGTGGTTCCTGGTTTTCCTTTGAGGCTGCTGTTATTATTACTCCCCTTCGTTTAGCTTCGTCATTTTGGCGGTAAAGGCAAAAGGAAAAATGGATAGCAAAAAGAATAGGTGGCTGGACTTCTCCCAGTTATGCGGTCAAGGACAAATGAGTGAAGGGATTAATGCTACCCAAAGTACTTGGTTATGTGTATTTGTGCCCGAGAATCACCCTAATTGATCACTATTAGCACCAATTTCTTTTTTCACTTCCTGGGTAGTTCGTTCAAGTTGTCTCTGGATGTACATCGTATTTAAGAACCAGTAAAAGAGCAAATGTGTTTGTTAGAACCTTTGTACGACCAAGTTATCTTCAATGATGAATTTTGTAGAATCCTGCATCTTTTGGTACATAACGTATTTTCACACGTTCAGAAAGGAGATCTAGTCTTTGGTATGCAAAATAGTCCCAGGGTGTGCGACATCGCTGTGTGATTCCATGTTGGCCAGATGATCAGGTTCTGCCCATATTCTAGTGTTGTTCTATTCCGTCGTTACCTTTGTTAGGGCGATGTAGCCTTTGGGCGCGCTTTTTTTTCTAAAAAACAATTCGTAAAGCACCGGTTTTGAACCTTAGTTCTTTTAATTTATAACAAATTACCTACTTGTGCAGTAACATGCAAGATCTACATGTCTTGAAATGTCGATTGTGCTTGGCTAGGAATAAGTTTGGTCTTTGGCTACGTAACACGGTATTGGCTGCCACACGAACATGCTTAAAAAGATCCGTGTGGAAAATGCCGTAAACTGATTTTTTTTTGGAAAAAAAGTGTAATGGATGGAAGTTTTGCAGAATGTAACTGGTTTGGCAATTTCACACCGTAGCCTTATTATTTGCATCCTGATTCATATTTTAAACCTTCATCAATTCCCGAGGTGTTTTTTTTTAAATAGATCTTTGAGCACGTGATTGTTTTCGGAACCTGGAATATCAAGTGAATTATGCTATTATTTTTGGAATTAATAGTTGCTGCGCCCTAAAACAGAAGTATTGTCTGCTGCTCACTGGTCAAACTGCTGAGTCATTGTTCGGTCATTTTTACCGGGCGCTCTCGCCAAAATCCTTACGCGCTACTTGCGCTCGTCGATGTTGGCCAAGTACTTAGTCACTTCGTCGTTGAAAGCAAAATTGAACACTGTCGAACCGGGCGACCTGAGTGCTCCCGCATTCCATAGGACTGCGGGTCAGGACGTACTTGAAATCCGTGCTTTAAAATGACGTGAGGAGATGTTTACCTGGTTAAGAAACAATTTTTCGTAGCATGGCCCTTATGCCTCTGTTGGTTGTGTTTCATCTCATGTATACATTTTACTGTTTGCAACTTACGAAGCGTATTGTAAAGCGTTTGGTCCTGGCTACATTATATTCGTGTTTGCTCGGGTGTCTTCCGTAAGTCAAGGTGATTTAGTCATAGAAGTATGACCAAATTGTAGATCACAGGACTCAGGTGTCCGGTTGTTTTTCGCGTCCTTCACCAAACTGGTTGCTCTTTGTTAATCCAAACCAGATTACCAATCACTTTTGTGTTTGCAATTTCGTACTTTTATATGCAGTGGTAATTTTTCTGCCCGTAAGTCTTACGGAATAATTTTTATTACTAGGTCGTTCATCAAAGTCCTCAGGATTCAGATTTCACGATAATTTTTGCTCTCGATTACGAGTATTTATTTTTACACAGAAACCTCAGGAACAGCTAGCAAAATTCAACATACTGAAGCAGGATTTAGAGTTGAACAAAGTCGCATTCACTTGGACCTTCTCCCCTTCACTACACGATCGGCAAATAGTGTAAGTAGTATCAGCTTCAAGAAGAATACCGTGACCTTATGTCTTTCTTTGACCTTTTCGTCGATTTTCGAGTCGAATTTTCATTTTTACATTCCTAAGGCGTATCATTGATTTATAAATTGTGCTGGGGTGGTATCAGAGGGGCTAATATAGCGCTATATGTTAATTTCAGATTCAACAATGGTTGGGTCGTGAAGATTGGTAGAGGTCTTGATTACATTAAAAAATCGCCTCATAAATTCGTCGGCCTTGGAGTTCACGACTTCGACTTCCGGCCCTGCCTAGAGACTACCGTGGATATCTACTTCGAAGGACAAACTCCCTTTTAATGTTTTTGAAAATCACAAGACCCTAATCTGTGCACAAATACTTCCTTTTCCTATTTTCCATCAAATCTTGTTCCCTTACTAAATGGTCACTTACGCATCTATCATTGATTCAGCAAGCGGATTGTCACCCTGGTGGCGCACCAACTCATTTATAGGATGTTTTCATGGAAAAGACCAGAAATTTCATCTAGAATTCGGTTATGTAAACTTGCGTAGGATCCGCTCACGGATGTTCCACGGTGCTCTATTTAGTGCTCCGTGAAATCGTACCACGTTATCAGACGACATTATTGAAACAATTGATTTACATTGCCAAGTTAATTACCGCCCATGGAGAGCATCCGAAGTCAAGCTGTACATAGTGGTCGTCGTTTTTCTACGTATTTTTTTATATAGACACGGTACTTATGTGTTGGAGAAAATTTGGAACATGTGCATTAAATAAGTCCGTTTGGACATTGGGATCTTTGTACGTAATACCCTTAGCTGGTTCTGTTGTCAATATTGTTTCCATGTGCACATGTACGTGAGTTGGTGTGTGGTCCTCGGAACGTTAGTTGCTACCGATGCAAATCTAAACAAGCATTGTTGGCATTAATTGTTACTTGCAAACCTTCCCCAAAGGCATTGGTGACAATGTGTTATTGAAATTGACTCTGCAAGTTATCATCTTGAAGGTTAAAACGCATAATGGGCAGTTAGCCAAGTTTCGCTGATCTAACGCACTTTGCTTTAAACCTTTGCTGAAGTTGTAGAATGTTTACTTCTAACTTTGGTGTCGGGTTGAAAGTGGCTTATTGAAGAAAGTTGGCATTTACTGGAATTTGCGTTTGAGTCCCGTTCCGCTCCTGTATTAAGGACTGTAGTGTCTGTCGCTTCCCATAAATGCAATTTTGCGGTGCCCCCAAATGTGCATCGCTTTGGTGAATGGGAAATGACGATTCATGGATAAAGAACTAATAAGTGTAATATATACAAGGATATTTAATATTCTTTTGTACACTTCAATCTTTATCGAATACGAATTACTGTATTACAATCTTAGGGGAGGGAAAGAACAGAAAAGAATAATTAAGAGAAAATTTGCAGCTGAGATATTTTAAAATATCCGGAATGACTTCAAATGAATGATTGAAAGTAAGTGCGAGTGGCACACCTTTCACAAATTCACCGACAAAAAGACGTTTGACATATTACCACAGTAAATGCTTAACTGGCAGGCTCTTGGGCACCCGTTTAATTGAGTAAGTATTCTCTTGGCCAACAGACATTCGGGTCTTCGACAGTGATTTGGTATCGGCGGGCAAATATAGAGCAAGTTCCACTTCTTGGAGAGTTGGAAGTTTGGACAGGTCGCCATGTAAGGTTGCCTGTTGGCGAAAGCGCGACCGTTCGGACAGAAGCCTATGTGCCAGGGAGGTATGTGGGACTTGGATGCAAGGTGGACTGCAGCAGGAATGGAAAACTTGGCAAGGTTGTCTCTTCTTTTTAAATACCTCCGAAGACTGCGCTTCATTTGAGCTGATGTCAAGTTGCTACTGGACATCAGCTGCAATTGTGATGTTGATTTGGTTGAAATCATCGGGGCTTGACTTGTGGTCAGTTGTCTGTTTTCAGATTTTGGTTGGGCTGGTGTATCGATGAGATCACGTCGTGGAAGGAAACCATGAATAAGACAGCGACTGATTTTTATTCGCTTCTAAAATATGAAACCCATAAACGTTCATATTTCAAGTAATTTGGCCGACACTAAGACTTACCATCCATCCATTGATTTACTCATCTATAGTTTTCTTTATGCACAAAATCTCCAACGAGTCGAAACAGGCAAAAAACATGTTTGAAAAGATAAGTCCAGCCGTTTGGTGACCCAGATAAAATCAGGCTCGCTGCTGGTTGAATTGCGGATGCATTTTATAATCAGTATCCTCAATTTGATCCCCGGATAATTAGGCTCAAGACTATTACAAAAGCAAAGCCACCAGTTGTAATCTACTCTTAATCAGTACGTATTGATGGTTAAAATAAATACAAACTGTGCCAAATTACCTATCCGAGACTCCCTGAATAAGGGCCCGGAATCTGAAATTGCACACTTTTCAGGCTGTACGAGAGTTTATTGACTTAGTTAAAATTTTGCACTTTGTTTTTGAATGTTCACTTGACTATTATTGCTTTGCGAATAGTATTCCCAAACTACTATATAGAATTTAGTCTATAGTGCTCAGCGGGACGTAAACCACAAATGTGGTGCCTATTCACAGGTGGTGTAATTGATCAAGTCCACTGTGTTCCATATTCCTCAAACAAATTTTGGGCTTTAGCATTGCCAAAACGTCAACAAGCCCAAGTCACGGTAATAACACACATCACAAGCAGAGGACGGAGGCTCCGAGTTTTACGGACTCCTGGGTAATGTTGACTACAGAATTTAGCGTAAAATAGTAGAATTGAACAGCCTACCTGAACTGTTGGCTTCCCATGTCTGTTGAAACAAAGGAACATTTTAGAAGCCTTGTGTCTTAGGAATGCACCGAGACTTTTTGGTTGCGGTATCCATTCCCATTCGACTAAAAAATAAATGGCTAAGTTTTATTATATTTTAATAGCTCAGAAATACTTGGCGTAGAAATTACCTTCCTGGCTTCTTCGATGTTATAAATGCTGTTTGCTAATTGAAATTATGTTGTGCCTAGTTCCATAGTTTAAACGCCTGTCCAAAATCAGTGACGACTCGGGAGCACAATACGTGCACCCGCCTTCTACTTCCTAAAAAATCCGGAGATGCTTTTATTAGTTTAATTTTTTTTTAATTGTCGAAAGTAGAAGCATACAATGGAGTTATGTTATGCACTACTGGAATATGAGTCGAAAATTGCAGATACTGTCAATCGTTTAATGCGCTTCCACTGGTGCATTATGAAATTGTCTATTTGGCATCGTTGTCGTTTTGATGTATGCATATAGCAAAAGATTGTCCTTATTGGCTTAAAAGTCCGGATCGAACTAAGATTTTAGAGATTAAAGCCTCCCGGTGAAATTTCCACATATTTACTGGTAAATTAAATGCATTAAATCTTACCTATTTAGATACACGACGAAAGCGTTTATCGAGGACTGTGAGGAATTGCTCAAATTTAATAGTTTCACCTGCCATTTTGAGAAACATGAATTTACCAGGGTTTTGAGTGATGATTTTGATTTAGCGCAGATATGAATTTCATGCAAATTATCTTTGCACCACTTTCAAGTAATCACCTCTAATTCGAGTAACTGACCTTGTTGAATTTAGAGTTCAAAACACACTTAACTAGAGGTTTCTAAAGTCCATTGGTACTTAGGCGTGTGAGACACCACTCGAGCAATCGTAATCTCAAAAGCCCAAGCATTTCAATGAAGGAAACATCTTGATTTGCCGCCTCTTTTAATAGTACTAGGGTAATTGGAGGGATAAGGGTTAATTGTTCACTTTGTGCGTGTATGTGGTAAACGTGTTCTAAAGCGAAAAGCCAACAATGCAGGTGGATTGCTGTCCACGGTAATAGAGACCAAAATCAGGGCAATAGAAAATGCGGATCTGATACAATCGACTTCCTGCGAAATATAGCTCGCGTGAAAATTGTTTGGTCTACAAAAGTGACTTTTGAAGAGGAATATGTTTAACAACTGGAACTTGTTCCCAAAGGGTGCATGCAACTTCGCCATATTTTTACTCAAAAGTATAATTGTGGATATCCACATTGAAGACGCGGTTATTCCTTACTTAAACTGACATTGGACTTAATTCTTCTAACCGATGGTTTCGAAGAGCGCGCTTGTCTACGCTTGCTGCTTGAGGCGGCATCTTATTCAGCGGGTACGTCATGTGTGCATGAGTTTGGTTGTAGTTTATCCTTGATATTTTTACTCAATTTCCTGCCATTTGTTAACATAGATAAGCATTTGATTATAAATTTAAGTGCATTGAGCACCTCTTTCTAAGATAATCCATTACTATTCGTGATTTTACCCGTTTTTTGGAAACAGCCAAAACGATGACCAATTTCATCAAAATGAAGAAGTCAACAATGGTAGGTGGTATCAATTAAAAAAAGTGTCTCGGATTTTCTATGTTCAATGGTACGCACGTTCCGTGAACCAAAAGAATGCAAAAACTGTTTTGACATAATTTTTGAGCAAAAATTAACTGAGCTTGTTATTATTTCCATTCTTTGCGTTTAACTTTGTGCAGGATGATGATCATAAGTATACTGTTAATATCGAAAGTGTATCGAGGAAAGCATATAATCAATCAGAGTCGGTTTACAATTTTTTATTGTTTTGGTACTTTGATTAGTCTAGGGGGTTGCTTTTATGAAATCGCCGGCACGTTTCGGGTTTGGATGATAAGCAATGAGGGATTTTATGTAGTCCGCACAAAAATTGGAGTAAAAAGGAGCATGAACTTTTTCATCTTTTTCGCGAAGTCTATGAAATGGGGATTCAAATTTTTCCATGCTTTAAAAAATGGTTGTAATTTAATTAGGTTTTTAGACTTTAATTTGTGAGAGGGAAGAGTAGAGAGGAAGAAGGGTTTTATTCTAAAATGACTATTTCCATCGGCCTCGAAATATGTCCTATTATTTCATAAATACATTTTAAATGAACTTGGCAAATATTATCGAACTTTGCAAACTGACGTAATAATGAATGGTTTGTAAATTTTTCGTTCTTATTTGTAGGACTCAAACAAAATTAATTAGCACAGACTCGCTTTCAGTTCCATTAGTAAAATTTAGTGTCAAAAAGTCAGGATATCGACTGACAATACAGCCAATACATGAGACCACAAGTGCGACAACTGTTGAAAATCAAACTTACTCTGATTGCTAAAAGGATCACGATCCTGCGTAACAACCTCCTTGGAAGTATTTCTTTTTGCCAAGTAGGCGTGTGCTCCTGGGTTGTAGAAGCGGAAAGCAGGGAACACAGGCTCTTCACTCAAGCCGCCGAATCCCTCCACCCCACTCTTTAACTGGACTGTTTGCGGGCGAGCACCACTGCCTTCGGAAAGGGAATTGGAGAGGGCAGAAAAGGAGCTGGCAAGATTATAAATCCACGCGTTGAATACTTCGAAGTCGATGCGCGATTTTTGATAGGGCGCTGAGAATAACCTCTTGGGTGCCTTGCTGGCAGAAGACGGACGTGATGAAGGGGGAACGGGCATTTGAGGAGGCCTGATTAGAAGGTGCAGTTTGAGTGCTCTCGTTTGGGGCCCCTGGAAAATACCAAAATCATTTCCTATGGAGCCTAGTACTGTGTTAGATGACATCAAAAACATCCTAAAAATAAATTCGCAAGTTTGTTCACTGGAAAAACCTCTATCTCATGGTGGTGGATTTAGGTTAGCCTATTCTTCTTGATTTCAGAAAAAATTAAATATGCTAACAGACATTACTGACAAACACTATTTTTAATTTATGAATAGATTCTGATAATCATGTCAACATCTCCAACTTAAGGACATATGTAAGTTACAGTTCACCATATTTCTGTACGCTTCAATTCACACTAATAATAACAGGTATCAAATGCCTCACTTTTTGATAATGAACGACCATTTTATTGCACGCTCTACCCGTTACAGGAATCGAAATTATTTAAGATTCCCTTGATTTAGCGTAATAATAAGGACTTTGTTACGGTAAATTGTGGACGCAAGTCAGTTGATAGCATTCTGATTTGGCCGAAACTACTCTCCAGTCACTTTGGTTCAAGTATTCCACTGCAGCATTTACCTAGATAACTTGTTTATGAAACACTTAAAACATGCATAAGGTGGTTTGACAATTACATTTATTATAAGAGACCCTGTTGGAACAATTATGATGGTGTGCATGTCGGAAGGATTAATTAAACGTTCAAAGGAGACTTACTTGGGTCATTTGTTCAGAAGGGCAGATCACTGTTAGGGTGCAAAGTATTATAATCCATACGCTGAAAAAAAATATAACGTGTTGCTTGATCATGCGGACCATCAAGAGCTGGAAAAAATTTGCCAGATTTTATGTAAAACTGTGACGATATTATTTATTTTATCAGTAGCCGATAGCTTTCAGAAGTCATGAAAGTCAGAAATGCCAACCTAGCCCATTTCTGCCAAGTTAAAAATGAAACCTGAATACTTGATTCCGATTTCTTCAGGTTGCTTGTCTGTAACTCAAAGTCATCATAAATGCAGTCCAAATGTAACAGTTTTCAGATAATATGTAAATTGTAACTGATACACATCCGAAACAAGCCACTATCTGTACCTTATTATTTAATTTTAAAACTCCAACCAAAAATTTAAGGTAATATGATGCTACAAGAGGCTAGAGGTGGTGTTTTATGGGGGCAAGCTTGATTGTACACATATTCATCCCTAAATTATACAAAATCCAGTTTCAGATTGAACACGATTCGCTACGGCTCGAAAAATTCAACAGACTTGTTGCCCAATAGTACGCAGGGCTTATAGTGAGCTTAAAAAAATCTGAACACGAAAAAATTCGCAGGAAAACGTTGTTTTTAAATTTTGGATCAACTTTTGTTTGCCTCTGATTGTGCTTGAGCAAAATTAGAGTGCTAATTCATCAAAAGCACAATTTTTCCTTAGTTTAGCTCACCATTCCTAACTTGAGGTGTCTGGAAAACGTCTAGTCGCAAATCCCTTTGATCCCTGCAGGGCTAAAACATATATTTCAGTTTATAAACGATGAGGAGTAAAATTGCTGGCATTTTTGCCAAGCAACACTTTCACATCAAGCAAAGCAGGTAAAAGTTGAGTGGCGGAAAAATGTTATGGACCAATGTAAAGCATCACTTTGCGTAGTTAGCGGCAGGTGAAGAATTGAAAAGCCAACAATAAAACATCAAGTAGAACGCCACATCATGGTAGAACTTAAGCTTCTTCGTGGCTTGAGTAATTTGTTGCATTACTTGATTCGATTAAACCAGAAGACCGTTTACGGGTGCATAAAGCAGGAGAACCGATACCCACATCACAGATTTTTCGAAATAAATCTGCATGTGCTAGCTATTATTGCAAATTTGTTTATAATGTCCTCTTAGACAAGGACTACGGAAAAAGGTCAATGGTTAACCAGACCGGTGTTAGAGAGACATAAACGCATGTGGTTGCCCACACACAAAGAACTGCGTCGCCTCGTTTTCGAAGAACCAGAGAGGCGAAGTCCTAATAGCTATGCAGAATTGTTTGCCCATTTTTTGGGTCAGATGTGACAGGTTGTGGCCTGCTACGGACACTCGCAGCACCTGCCGACAGAAATTAAAGCCAAAATCTACAGCTTTTTCTACTGGGCCATTTTCGTGATTTTATAAAAACACCTTCAAATTTAATAAGCGCATTAAATACAAAAAAAAATAATTTTTAAATCTGTTTGGGCACCAATTTACTTCAGCCCGATTTTTGTGGTCTGGTTTTTATTACTGTCTTGACTAATCTAACTCGTTTCTACTCTTTAGGACTAATGGGTTGGCAAAGGGTGAATTCACCTTTGCAGCGTTAAATCAAAGAACGAACTTAACTGCGTTCTTGCATTTCATGAGAGATACTACATTATTTTTGTACAAAACTCCAGTAATTTTTCCGAGTTATCGAATACTTGTGAGGTATTATCTTAGTGGATACAAGACGAATGTATGTTTTTTTCCTATACTGGCCAAGTATCTTTATTTGATTACAGTAAAAGTATGAAATGGTAGTACAGTTTCTTTGATTCAGCTTTAAGCACACAGCACTAGACTTGTCCCACATCAATAGGAACACAATCCTGCTTTGAATGAAAATCAGCTGATAGCATGATTTGTGCTGGTTTGACATACTTTAACCATGAAGGTTTCTTGTGAGAGATGCTAATATAAACCATTCATCGTATATCAATTGTGACGAACGGTTTTTTAATAAAGAACCGATTTGATTGCGTTTAAGATGTATTAGATAAATATTGGTGTGCAAAGTGTCCCACCGTTCCTATAGAACCACAATATCGAGTTTCTTAACGAGTCCAACACATTTTAAGCAACTTTGTTTCTCGTGTGCGTGTGTGTTTGTGGAGTTGAGTC